AAAAAAAAAAAAAAAAAAAAAAAAGCAGCTTCAACTAACAAATTTCATGAAGGGGGGAACAGAGATATCTTAAGGACAAGCATTAAAAGAATACAGAAGCATTTGGGGACCAGAATGAACGTGTTAGGCAGTGCAAAGCAAGGCAACTGATAAAAAGTTTTCCATTAATAATTCTTTCTCCTCATTCTTCTCAGCTAAATTAAGTGAATGGAAAAGTTCAGTAAATCACAGGTTTAATCAAATTGCTTTGTATCTGGCAGTAATTCTTCCTGGAGTTTCCATCAGTTTCAGCTTATTTGATTCCCTCCCCTCATCCTAGTTTTTGTTCCTAAGCTTCATTTATAATGACTTCTATACTGAGAAGCCTAAAATATTTTTATCATTTGATTAACTTTATATTCATCCTTTTATCTACAAAGAACAGGGGAACACTGGAAGTTATCTAAGAACCTATGAAACTTGATTTAATAGGATTAATTTCCTTCAGATGTCTTCAGTAATTTCTCTAGAACAGCTTAAACACCTGTAGCACAGCTGCTTCTTTTCATGTCTCCAGCATTAGTTTAAACCATCAGAACCTACCTTCTGTCTTCCTTTTTTCATCTACTGGCAAGCTTCCCTCTATTGTCCAGATAAATATTCCATTAATACAGTAATTCTTAAATTCTTTTGATCTCCACTCTTCTGTTTTCCTCACAAGCACTTCAAAACAGACTTGCAGAATGCTGTACATGCCTCATTTCCATAAGATAGGGAACAAGTCCTTCCTTCAGGTTGTACTGTATGGTTGGTATCAATTTAACTCTCGATCCTCTTTCTTACAGAATTAACTAATGCCTGGCTTCTCTCCCTTTCTTTGGCTAGTGTTTTCCCTCTTCTATTCCTTTTCTGCCCTCCAAACAGTTTGGCAGGGCATCTCAAGCAATTTTTCTGGTTAGCAACAATCATAACTTCTTGATTTAAGAACTCTAGAGAGCTTTTTTAACTTATTCTAGCAATATCACCTTGCTAAACTTGAATAGGTTACACATAGCCAGAAACGTTTTAGGAAGAAGCTAGGAAGATCTGTAGTTACAAACAGACACATACCCCAGGCAAGGAAGAAAGAATATGACCTTTATCTCAGGGATAAGAAGTCAACAGCTTATACACACTTTCCTCTTTTTTGCCAGTCCATTTTGAGACTCCTTACCCTGCCAGAGTTCCAAGGTCCTGCGCTGAGTTCATTCTCCTTGGCCCTTGGGGCTGGAGGTGCTGTCCATGGCTGTGGTGTAATTACAGGAATCTCAGGTCCAGAAGATGAATTTTCATCAAACACAGCAAAACCCGGATTATTTGAAAACTGCTGAGACGTTAGAGTCTGGAAGCTTCTGCTTTGGTTAGTGGCTACAAGCAAAAAGATTTACGCAAATTAACCTTTAACTATCACATTCAAGTGTAAAATCCAAAACAAAAATATGTAATTCTTCCAGTAATATTCGTGGTTTCAGCAACTGAACGTACCTTTAAGTGCATCTCCTACACGACTAATTGGGGCTCTCACTTTTTTCTTCCCTCTGCCTTTTAGATCTGCCAGTGAGCTTCTCTGAGGTTCCACAGCTCCCAGAAGACCAGTAGCATTTTCATCAGGAGTTTCCTCAAGCCCCAGCAGCGTCTGCCGAGAAACACGGGCCTGAAACTGCCTGAGAAAGGTATTGGAGAAGTCAACATAAACTTTGCTGTACCCACCGATGCACATAGGATTACTCCAAGTTCTCCCCTTTAGCCAGAAGCTTACCTGTGATAGGACTGGAGCTTGTCCAAAGGTTCAGCCTTACGCTGAAGACCCTCCTGGAATATCAGATCTGCTTTCTTAAAACTTCCTCTAGCCTCAAGCACCTCTGCCCAAGTGATGTAGAGTAGCGCCAGTGTTGTTCCAATTTCCTGGCTATGTAGATAACTGTACAGATCCAAGGGCTCGTTACAACAATCTCCCTGAAACAACCAAAGTATTTCATTAATCATTTTGGACTACGAAGGATTCCAAGTCGACATCTAAGTTTTGATGCTCCTGCAAGACCCCAACTGATTTCAGTACCAGTCTTCCAGGAGCAGCTGAAAGGCCAGGACATGCAATTGTATTGTGGCACAGCACACAAGGTAAAAGAAAGGAATTCCAAAGGATAATAACAAGAAAAACCTCTGACTGCACATATATATATTTGTTATTACTACCAATCACTTAATTCTAGCCTACATGTTCAAAATTTCTTCAATTTCTTTTTTTATCTGAGATAATTCAGTGATTCAACTATGTCATATTAGTATTCCTCAGAATAGTTATTTTAGCTTTAGATCAAGTACAACATATTTCTTACCAGTTTCAGAACTGGTAAATCAGCTCAGGAAGCTAAACTTGGAGAAAAACTGCTTTAAGACAATGCTTTTAAACAACAAAAACTGTATCAATGGAGAGGGCAAGACCAGAACACTCAGTTTGGTTTTGCTTAAACACAGGATGTGGATACAAAACAGAAGTTAAAATAACTGGTAAGACAGATAAAAACCTAAAATGCATCTTTAAATCACTTTTCTCCTTAAATAAATAATCAAGCTCTATTCATTCAAATTAGCTTTTCCAAAACAAAATTTATTAAGTCTGTAGCTGTCCAAACTAAATGATCCTAAAAAAGGTCAGAAGATCCTACTGAAAATGAGACCTGAAATTCAAGAATAGGAAACATGTTTGCAGAGAAATACTTCTAATGCTGCACTAGTTGTACATCATGTTCTTCTGACTCCACCGTTACAAAAATCAGCTTGAATGTGCAAATGACATGCCAAGTACCAAAAAACCAAACACCTAAGACATATTCTCAAAATACTCACAAACTTGAGCCAGAGATTAAGATAGCGGGGATCTTTGTAGTACCGCTGCTGTTCATTGAGTGCTTTCACTGCCCTTTCCAATATTGCTGGGAGATTACTCTCCTTTCCACCCTGGGGGAAGGTTTGCTCTGTCCACTTAATGTACCTAGAGATGGAATAGGAGAGATGGAATAGGAAGTCAGTTCTGAATAAAATACAAAAAGACTTCTGTTTCTGTAGAACATAAGGACATTTAGAAATAAAATAGGCATAATATTGAAACACAACATATGATTTAAGAAAACTTGTTAGAGAATTTATATTCTAAGGAATTTCTTATTAAATTACAATATTTTTTCCTAAGCTTTTACACGGGTATCTGACCTTTCAGTTCTTTCTTCTTAGGTAAAAAGAAAACTTACCGGTCCCAGACATCCAGTGGATCGTCTCCAGAGTAAAATCGGATTTCCAATTCAAACTCCCTGAAAAAAAAAAAATTATCCATTCAATAAATACATGTGTATAACTCTAAAGACATTTTCTACTCTGTAAACTAAGACCTTCGCTCTCACTCATACCATTTTGTAAGTATAAAAGAAAAAGGCTAAATTCAATATATTTAGACTTGAGCTAAATGGAAAACAGTTCTCCATCCACCAATACTCCCACGTATTTAAAAAAAATACACACTTTTCTTAATGAACACATTTAAAAGCACAACCAAAATTCCCTGGTGCTTACTGCTTAAATGCTCTAACACAAATCTAAAAATAGTAGTCTATACTATACAGCACCCACAGCAAGCAGTCCTAAATACCTGGTGTGTGATAGTAGCAGATACCAGTTACTAAGCTTCTGTTTTTATGCCTTTTTCAATGTATATGAGATTACTACACTTAAACAAGACATAGAACAAATGATGAGGAGGGAGGAAGATAAAAGGGAAAGGTGTCAAAACATCACTCACTGCTTTTTGAGCTGAACAGCAGTGTGGGTGGAGGTCTCCTGCTGAGCCAAAGCTTCCTGCAAGGTGGCCATGACACGTCCCTGCCGGAGGGGCTGCACATTCTCTTTGCTCAGCTCCCACTCATCGTTGCACTCCTGTGACATGACAGCCTCTCTTTTAAATTCTGTGTTAACAACAAAAGCAAAGAATTGATTCATTAGGTAGGATACTAACCCGAAACCTGGCAGACCTGGCTCTCCTTACCTGACCACACACTTTCTATGCAGCCATTTCGGTCCCCAACTTTTAGAGGGAATTGGCCGTTCAATTCCCCTCCATGAGAATCAGATTAAACAAGAGCTAAGCACGTCTTTACAATGAAGAACCTCAGGCAGGTGAGGCCAGCAGGAAAGGCTGTTTCCCTCCCCACCTGCGTGCCCCCTTCCTTCCCCCAAGATTAACACCGTGGCGAGCGGCGACCTCCAGCCACACTATAAACGGAATCAGGCCCCTCAGGCTCCTCTCTTCACCTACGAGTAGTTGTAGCGGGCCGGTAGCACAGGCGAGTCGGTGAGGCGACGGCCGGCGAGGACGAGGAGCGCGGCGGAGACGGTCCCTCACCGCGCGGAAGGGAGCAGAGTCCCCGCTACCACACAGCCAGAAGCCGTTTGCCCCGCAGCTCCACAATGGCGGCTCGCCACCGGGACGCGCCCCCCACCGCCCTTCCCTCGGGCC